TCATTATTTTAAATGCGTTTAAGTTGGTTTAGGTGGTAGCCCTTTCTAGGCAGGCTATAAATCTATAGGGTTTGGTTGACTTTGTCACAAGTGAGGTGTAGGTTTGTAGGTCCATTGTATTCTGTTAGACTTAGATTTGAGACTATCCCTCTATAGTCTGCACCTTAGATTTAAGATCTAAGTTGTTGTTGACTCCAATCACCTCATAAGCCCTAACATTCCAGGCATTTCCTCCAACCCATGTTATAGGAATATAAGCTCCAACTTTCTAAAATTAATTTATCAACTCAAATAAAAATTTAATTTTAAAAGGTAAAGTCCAACATATGATACTTTGAATACCTTTGAGTTTCCTCATAATCAAATACTCCTATAATTTTCTTCCTTGACTTTCATTCCTAAAATCTAATTTAAAGTTGATCACATCTCCCTTTAAATTCTCAAAAATCAAATCTTCGAACAAAAATTTCTCAAATTTAAAAAATAAAAAATAGTAAATATTTTTATGACTAAAAAAATCACTAGTTTAATCAAAAATATTCTCACGTAATAAATGTTTGAGATATAATTAATCATAGGAGCTTACCCCTATAGGCATCTGTACCCAAGAATAAAATAAATCATATTTAACTAAATATTGAATATGAAAAAAATTCTGTTAAAATTATAAAATTGTGGGTTTTATTATCGAGTCCATAGCGAAATAATATTTTTGCCCTTCAAGATAATATATTATTTTCTATGGCATGCTCAATTACAAAATATCTAAATCCGTTGAGGATGAATGACCAAATTTCTCCATCATCATCATAAGGAATTAGTCTCTCCCTGCATAATCCTGTGAAGTCCAATGCCTCCAAATCTGCTTCTTCATTTATTTAAGTCATCTTCCTCTCTCATAAATATTTATTATCAACATAAAGATGAGAGTAATACTCCAAAAAATTTTAAAAACGTGGTGATGGTGTGCAACTTTCAAGTAATCTCCAATGATTGCTACAACAGTGGTGGTTGGGTTGAAGGCGGCAGGCTGGAGGTCGAGGCAATTAAGAGGAAGTTGTAACGGCTCAATGTTGCATTAAAGTGTGACTTGTTTTGGGCTTTAGTTTAGAATTTAGGAATGTTTGAATAATAATAATAATAATAATAATATATAGGTTGAGGCATATGCCTCACACCAGAGAGGCAAGGTGCGCCTTAAGGTGGGCCTCAGTTAAGCTGAGATGCAAACCTCATAAAAAAAGCTCAAGGCGTAAGCCTCAAGGTATTTTTCACTCGAATTACGCTGAGGCAAGCCTCATATTATGTAATTTTAAACAATGTTTTGGGTTTGAGGGTACATTTTTATAATAAAGATCCCCTTATGTTGAAATTTTTTTATTTGGATTTGCAAATCGAGAGCTTGATTTTAAAATGGGCCCTCTAATTATGATGAACAATAAGCATACCCATCCTATGGGTATTTAAATGATTGTGCTTGATTGTTTTAAGACTTATCAACTCTGTAGTTTGCTTATAAAAGATCAAATTTATGTGTATTTTACTTAAAGTTCTTTAAGCATTTATTGTAAGCATTTATTGTATTACAGATGCTATAAACTCTACCCTTGCGGAGAAGATAGGGTCTATATATTTTGACCTCACGACTATAACTCATAGGCAAGACACCAAGAGTTTGCATTTAAAAAATAAATAAATTTTCTTTGTCAAAAGTTTTGAAAGCCTTCCGCAAAATGTGAAATAAAATATGTTGTCATTTTAGATTTATCGTGTTAAGGCTTGTCATAAGGTATCAAGTTTCGTTCGTTCTGATCCATATAAGGAGGAAGAATAAACTTGAGAGGTGTGACTTGTGAAACAACCAACAAGCAGAGCAGTGAGCAGTCTACTTAAGAATGTGTGGCACTTGTTAATTAGTTAAAAATATGAGTTTGAAAGATAGTCTTCTAAATTCTAAAATGGTTACTCACATTCAAAATTTTTGTACAGTTCTCAAAAACACAATAAATTAAAACTCATTTTATTTTCAATCCTCTCAACATTCTTGAACTTGTAAATTCACACATTCAATATATTTGTCGGAACACAAGCAGACATTTTGACTTTGGACAATTTGATTTCTCTGGAACAACATGCAAAGCAACTGCATACTTTTCGGTGCATCTCCATAATACATTTGCACGATTTTTATACATGCAAACTTTTTGATACGTTTTTATGATGTACTTGTACGAGTTTGGTGCACATGCTTGACTTCTAACATGTCATATTTGAGTTAAAGATTACCTCGTAAAGCACATGCAAAACATTGAATTCTCATATTTAGTTATTTATGCGATGCATACAAATTTCCATTTTGAGATATTAAAAGGTCTCATTTTATTTGCTTGTGAGTTTACATTGCAGATTTGGTTGCGAGCATTGCAGTCTAGTGTTTTGTTGAGCATTCAAAATGATGTTGGGTTGCTTGCATTTTGTCTCCATAAGCTCTGCATAAGCCTCACAGGAATTCTTTATTCTCCAATAAGTGGAGGCCCTATTCTAGCTCATTTCCATATTCCAATTACCAGTTTATAGTGTTGCAATAGTTCTAAGTACAGTGAGGTTCTATTCATGCTTGTTGGCAAGCTATCAAGTTTATTATAAGTGCCCTATCTCATTGTTGATCTTTCAAGCTAATAACAAGCCCCCGTGCAAGGCTAGGACAACGAGGAACGTGCCATGAGTTAAACACAAGCCACCCCTCTTTTTTATCTTTTTCTTCTTTTTTTTATATTTTCATAGCCTTTTTTTTTATAATTTCATTTTTTTTTCTTTTTTTTCTTTTTCTGTTTGCTCTTTTTAAAGATAGAGAGAGGAAGTTACAGAGAAAGAGCAAGATTTAGAATGAGTTAAGGAGAGGCAGCAGAGAGTGGACGAAAGAGAGACTAAGAGAGAGTGAGTGAGAGAGAAAAAGAGATGGGCTTATGAGAAAGAGAGTAAAAAATAGAGAGGTCCCATTGAAGTCCTTGTTGACTTGGATATGGTCGAATAAGACGGTTCAAAGGTGGAGACATCAATAGCTACAAAGTAGCATAGATCAGCAACCTTTCGCATAAAGGTGAAGAGATCGATAGCAATTTGATGTTGCTTTTAGTAAGAGAATATCCTGCAAGATGTCTAGGAGTGGGTGGAGGAGAGAAGTGTTCGACTTTTCTAGAGAGGGAAAGGAAGATGATTTACATGAGTGGTGCGCAACTTAAAGGATACGATAGAACTAGGTCGGGCGTGGGTTCTCAGAGAGAGAAGAGAGGGAGTTGGGCTTCACACGCATTAGCTTGAGGTCAAGGAGGATCGTGAGAGGAGTGAAAAACTATCATCACTTACCAGGAAGAAGAAGATGATGGGATAGCGAATGAGATAAATGAGAAGAGAAGAGAAAGCTTGAGGTCTTGTGGTTTGATGGTATTTAGGTTATAGAATATATATTTTATTTTTTATTTTAAATAACCAATAGGACTATGAAAATGCCTCACAACACAATAGAAAACAGACGGAGAGATAAGGAGGATTTTTGAGATGGATGAAGGATTTTCTTTCATTTTTATTTTTTTAATTAATAATTATAATTATAATTATAATAGCAATAATAATAATAATAATATAAGCTAATTTTTGTATTGACTCTTACTTGCAAGTTTCATTGCCTCGAACAAATTAATTTCACATCTAGATGCTGCAAGCGTGTAATTTTTTTGAATTTTACTGGTGCATGACTCAAGTCATATGAGTGTTATTTTGATTACAGTTGTGCTTTCAACAATAATTGCAAAACATACTTTTTATTACCCGTTGTTTTCGCCATGTTTAATCCAATCAATCATGGGCGCTCTTTCTAGATAATTTCAAAGCTTTCAATGAATTGGTGTCATCTATTTCACAAAATGAGAGGCATTTGAGTGATTTTCATTAAGATCAATGCATCGTGAACCTAATTTCACGATGCAATATCAACTGGTTGTCATTTGGTCAGGTTCTGTTGAATTAGTTTGTGTAACACATGGAGGTCAATAGTTGTATTTAGTTGAGGTAGTGGTATCCTAATCTAGAATCTAGATGGACATTAGACATGAATGTAGGCAATTGGGCCAAACCACATAAAAAGCAGTCGTATCTCCATAGTTTAGATTTACACTCCTTGCAATTTTCTATAAACCTTATATACTTGTATGGTGAATGCAATACATGTTTTTGTGCTCTAGTGTCATATAGATTATTAATATTATACTTGCAAGTTAGCAGCGGTTTTTAAACTGCTGCTATATATTACCTATAGAAGCGGTTTAAACCGTTGGCTTTAAGGCCGATTTAATCTAATCATTTTTCTTCTTGCCTACTCCATTTGACCGATTCGTGCCCTAGCCGCTCCCACCTCATCCAGCTTTAGGATACATGCCCGACGATTGCGCCGCTCTCACCTCGCCCCTTTTCACCCCTTCACAAGCTCCTCCATTGCCTCCCTCAGCTAATTGGAACAATGGATTGCACCCGAGATTTTGGTTTGCTCGCGAGCTCTTCTGTCTTACGGGTGATTTTTGGACTTTTCACGGACGGCTCCGTCGATGAACTACCGGCGTAGCTCCATGTTTGTCCATTCCGGTGAGTAATAAAATATAGAGCGGTAACCTAATAACTCTTTCTCAATATTTAGTTATGTATTAACAAGGTTAGCAGCTACTCCTTGCATGAGCCCTTCAAAAACGAAAGGAAAAGCCCTTCAAAACCTAAGAACCATTTCCTTGCATATGTTGGAGGTAAGGCTCACGTTGGTTCTTATTCCAGCTTCTTTTGTTTTCATTTTTTTTATGTATGCACATGTGAAGAAGTGGTAACTGGTAAGCAAATCTTGTTTGAGAATGGCTTTGAGTTTGGAGCTTTATATACAGTGTTTTGCCAAACTTCAGTTAAAAAAAAAGAAGAAGAAAGAAAGCTGAAGTGTTTTTTTGTCTTGTTTTGCTTTTCAGATTTGTTAATCCTGTTCTACTTTTTAAATCGACGACAGCTTCTTTGACTCCTCCAAGAACGCACACCAGGTGTTCGATCATTTGCTAACCATACAAATATATTTCTGGCAGCATCCCCAACTTAACCTTCAGGTATATGTATTAGAAATCTATTTACTTTTGTATTTGATTCTTTTTTTTTTTTTATGAAATTCCATCTGTTCATTTAATTTTTTACTTGAATCAAGAGTTTGAATTACAGGTTATACACAACTTTTTCAAATACACAAGTATCACCAAACATCCAATGACAAATTATGATAATTTATTCATCAAAGACTGAAGTTAGAGAAGCGCATCAAGGCAGAGGACTGAGCAAAATAGAAGGATGAACAGATCTTTAATTTTAAGTTTTGGTCATTGAATCTTATTTCAAAGCAAGTTTCTTGAGGTGCTGGAACATCCGCTGTTTAATCCAATGTCGATCGTAGGGAAGAAAAACATGAATAGATTGATCAAAGCTTTAATTTGGACAGAATAAGATGGATCAGTTTATCAAAAATAATATAGAGTGATGCCTTGTGTGAGTATAAATGATGTTTGAAATAGTTATGAGGGAGCTAAAAATTAATTTATATTTGTATAGTATTTTATTGATATTTGTAATTTGATCACAAATTTGTTTTTTTTTTTTTTTTTTTGCATTATATTTTTTTTTAATTTATTCTATCTTTTAGCAGCGGTTTTAACACCTGCTAAAAGCGTTGCTATAGCCTTCCTACAACAGCACTCATGAAACCGCTGCTGAAGCCTTTGCAGCGAACGCAAATACAGCAGATTTGCAGCGGTTTTTAAACCGCTGTAAATAAATTAGTAGGTGTTTAAACCGCTGCAGTAGGTCATAAAAAATGCTACGAAAGCTTATTTTTTTAATAGTGCTGGTACAAGACGGGAGAGTAGATCTGCTTTGAGGACTTCATATAAGTTGTGTGAATTTGCAGGTGTAGATGCATATTTCACATGGTGTAATTGTAAAAGTTAGTGGATCACTTTAAAGTAAAACTAGAGACTGTTTAAGGGGAAATAGAAAAAGGACTCAGGAGTAAAGCAAGAAGAAAATGTTAGCATTGAAGCAAGGTAGCAGAGGAGGTTATTAATGGAGATTCTAGTATATGAAGTAGAAGAGGCAAGTCTAGTAGTGATGCAAGGACCAGACAAGATGAAATATGTCGGATAAGAGAAATCAAGACCCCAAAAAATTTTGAAAAAAAACCTATATAGGATAATTCATTCAGCCATATATACCACACAAATATCAGCACCAGTAATTAGCCTAATGGTATCTACAAATCATGTCAAAAAGAAACGGAAAGAACAAAAAGAACAATCATTAACGATGCAACTAAGAATAAGATACCTTAAATCTTCCATCTGCTGCAACTTTCATGCTAAAGCTTCTTGCATATTCCTGGCTAATATGATTGTTTGTTGATAATTTAGGAATAGTACCAGCAATTTGTAAAATCTTAGCAATAAGATCATCAAGTGCAGATTTATCATGGCCAATAAACACAAGGCACGACTTGGGTGCACCATCCCATGGTCTTGCGCTGATGGCTTCTACCTTTTTAAGCCCACTCCATTGAAAAACAAAGCGACTCTTCCTAAGTGAAGTAAGAAATAATAATTACTTCTCATGTCAGACGTTACAACACCTTATCATGCATTTGCAAAATTCAGTAGTTAAATAAAGCAGAAAGCAAGTGAAGCACTATTTGCAAGTTTGAGAAATAAAATGAAGATCATAAAAGATGTGAAGCCCGTCAGAAAATTCCACTTTAGAGTTATTGTATTATTACCTCAATTCAACCTTCATAAGAAAAGCAGGAAACTTCAACAGAATGGAGTAATCAAGTTTTTATTTTCCCAAGCTATGTTCTCATCTTAGATTAAAGATATATAGTTAAAATAAATTAGGGGTTGGTGGGGTGGAGCAGGAAGGGACGCATGGCAAAAATAAAAAAAGTTTAAGCATCAAATAGTAGAATTACCTATCTTCAAGAAAGCATAATATGCCTTTACCCCTGAGAAGACCAATTGTGTTGCTGACACTTGTCAAAACTTTTGACTGAAATAAGGATAACGACAATGGAGCCTCACTTTCAAACGTAACAGAAGAAAAAGAAACATCTTGGGGCAATCCTACAGCAAAAGATAAATCAGCATAACATGAAGGATCCTTGTGTGGTAACTTCATAATACATCCATTTTAAAGAGTAACGCAACCAAAAAGAAATGTTCTCTAATAGTTGAATGTCTAAATCAAATTATATGATCACCTCAAAATTTCTTTTCAAACAATTCAAAATTTACTGAGTTTTCACAAACAAAAAAACAATCATTAGACAAATTTGATCGAGATAACAATGACGTAGCTGTGAAAACAAAAGAAGTGTGTATGATTTCAACTTTCTCTAAATGTTAAAAAACAAAGTAAACTTTAAAACCTTCGAGCAATCACTCTAAGATGGTGAATGAATGGAAAAATAACAGACCAATCTTAATTCTCTACCATAAAGTGGAGGAAATATGAAATAGACAATGAGCATTAAGCAAGCTGATTACTTAGAAATGAAGGTCAGCACCCTTCAACATCAATAATCAAGGGCAAAGAAGTCACTTCAAAAAGGCTATTTAGTTGTCTGCTATTGAACTTGCATCATCTGTGTCATGGTGCTTGGTTCCGAAGAATAAATATGAATTTGGTCAAGTTGCTATTAATTGGAACAACTTAAAAGCATAGGAGCCAAATCAGAGAAACATGCTATAAGATACGACATCCAAAGCAAAGTGTATGCCCCACTTCTAACATGCCCTTAACTAGAACAAGAAATATACTTGACTTAAAAGTTAGAAAACGCATTGAGTAAAATTTCTAAGCTAAAATACATGGCGCATTCCCTACCATACTGTGGACTCTTAGACGTTTCTCCATCACCATCAGCCAAAGGCAGGCTATCAACAATGCTAGAAGAAATATTCACTGAAGGATTTCCATGTGTAGCCCCTCGAAATGCCATCTTGGATAATGGTTCATGGGACAAAACTGGTGGAACAGTGCAGTCTTCCTTAGCTGCATTAAAAGCATCAATTTTGCTACAATCAATAACAAGATCCAGAGGAACCTTGCAAAACTGTGAACGAACAACTTTTGCTCCTCCTGTCATTCGTTCTAAAATGTCTTCTGCATCAGCAACTTGACTAAGAGTAGCCAGATCACACCTGCAAGGATGGGCCAAAAAGAATCTTGACCAAGAAAAATTCATTTTTACATTTAAAAGAAATACAGCATGCATTCGTAGAATGTCATAAAAGTTATATTTAAGCCAATTTTAGATAACTAAAAAGGGAAACACCTAGTATATCCTATTATTAAATATAGCATTTTTATATGGTTATTTGATACATAGCATTAAAATTGTATAAATTTTATCGTTAGTCATTTCTATAAAACAAAATATATATAAATTACTTTGCAGGAATCCAATTTGTTGAACCCTTTATTTTCCAAAACCATCGTGGTCTTTTTAATCTTTAATTTATCAAATGCTAATATTTATACTCCAAAAAAAACTCTAAAGAACATAATAATGTTTAAAACTCCAAAAAATAACTCTTAGATTTCGATTGAACCAAACTCTATAATTTTTTGCATGCACACATCCTGGCCTTAAATTTATTTATGACCAACCCTTTAACATGGCTTACTAAACTTTTTAATAGACCAAAAAGATGCCAGATGAGTGGAGAATGAGTGTGTTAATTCCTATTTTTAAGAATAAAGGTGATGCACAAGATTGTACGAATTATAGAGGTATTAAGTTAATGTGCCATACTTTAAAACTATGGGAGAGAGTTATGGAGCATAGGTTGCGGCGTGATACTAATGTTTCTCAAAATCAATTTGGATTCGGGTAGGTCGACTATGGAAGCCATACATTTATTAAGAGGTTTGATGGAGAAATATAGAGAAAATAAGGAGGATCTACATATGATATTTATTGATTTAGAAAAAGCATATGATAAAGTTCCAAGAGAAGTGCTATGGAGAGTTCTTGAAAAGAAAGGAGTCAATAATGCTTATATTCAAATCATTAAAGATATGTATGCAGGAGCTATTACTTGTGTTCAAAAACAAGATGGATTGACCAAGTATTTCCCTATTTCGGTTGGGTTACATCAAGGATCAGCCTTAAGCCCATATCTTTTTGCTTTAGTCATGGATGTTCTCACTAGACATTTGCAAGAGTATGTACCTTGGTGTATGATTTTTGCTGATGATATTCTTCTTGTTGATAAGACTAGAGAGGGAGTTGAAGGTAAACTTGAATTATGGAGGTCAGCCTTAGAGTCTAAAGGTTTTCGCTTGAGTAGATCTAAAACGGAATATATGGAGTGTAATTTTAGTAGTAATAGACATAGTGAGAGGATTGTGACTTTGGGCGATCAAGTCATTAATAAGAGTACACGTTTTAGATATCTTGGATCTATTGTTCAGAGTGATGGTGAAATAGATGGGGATATTATCAGCAGAATTCAAGTTGGATGGTTGAAGTGGAGGAATGCATCGGGCTTATTATGTGATAGAAATATACCCCTTAAACTTAAGGGAAAATTCTATAAGATGATAGTGAGCCTATGGCATGTGTTCATATTAAGTCTTCAGCGACTTTCAACTTCACATAGAACTAGTGAGTTCATATGAAGTCTTCAAAGACTTCATTACAGGTTGACCAGTAGATTTAAATCTACAGCAATTTCACTTGATGTACTGGGTAAATAGCCTTGATGAGTTTAAGTGGTTTCAAGGTTGAAAAGTAGCTATAGCAACTTCAAGTGATCTTGAAATCATGTACCGAATAGCTTTGAAGATTTAAAACTCGGTAATGAGATCATCATGCTCATTGGTGACTTCAACTTGATAGTGAATTAATCCCCTTAAGTTGGTCAACTTGTCTTGCACTCAACTTAGGCAACATTTGGGTATACATCTAGTTCAACTATCTTTACGTTGGGATTAAAAAAAAAAGCTTCATGTGTGACCAATAGACCTTTTAATTAATAAAATCTTATCCAAATCCTTCTATTTGTAAAAAGACTTTATGTCTATATAAAATATCTTATGTTTGAATATGATACTTTATATCTAGGTCAAAAAACTTTATATCTATTAAAAAAGGTCATTGTTTATTTTTATATTATTGCTTAATAAGGCTGATGTGACCATATTTAAGGTGGATTTACTCAAACTTGCATGCTGTTAACCACAATCACCACCAAAAAAAGGGGATTCTAACTTATTCTTGGCTAGTTATATGTACTCTATTATAAGGTATCAGCAGAAGCATACTTGTTCAATAACACAAGATCCACGTGCTCTAATTGCTTCTTTACAATATCCAACTTAATAATCTTTTCTAGCGACTCAGCATCTACGACAGCAACAGTAAGGTCCAAATTTATCCCAACTTGCTCCAGCTCCGCCACGAACTTATCCGGCTCAGCCAGTCCGGAAGTCTATACAACAAAATCCTAGTAAATGTCCCCAAAACAACCTGAATAAGGAAACAATAACCAAGGGGAACTAGAATAAGAAATGAACCTCAACGAGTAAGCAATCGAAGTTGTGTTTGCTGTCGACTATCCGTTGCAGCGATTCACGGAACGGCCCACGCATTTTACAGCAAGCGCAGCCTGCAGATTAAGCAAAAGGAGAATTAGGCCATGTACAGGTTTTGGAAGAGAGGGTGCAAGGGAAGGCATGGGGGCATGGGGTTGGGTTGATACCGTGGGTCAGGGAGACGGTGGATAGATTAAATGCGGCGTTGAGGCGAACGGAATCAAGGAGAAGTGAGTCGACATCGGAGTCCGCGAACTCGTTGACGAGGACGGCGAGGCGAAGATCACCGCGATTGTCGAGGAGATGGCGGAGGAGAGTTGTCTTGCCGCTGCCGAGGAAGCCGGTAACAAGCGTGCAGCCCATGCGGCCACCACCAAGACCCGCACGTCGGTTGAACACACGGTTCTCGAATGCCAAGCTCATCTGATTCCCCACCATTTCTCTTAGGAGTTACAGATCGGCTTCCCAGTCGCCTCCTCTTTATCCGACGACAATTGAAATGCTTGAAATGAGCAGTGAGTTTGGCTTCCGACCAAAAAAAACATTAGAAATTATTTCGTGTGGAGTACGGAATTTTCAATAAAATGTTCATATGACAAGTGAATATTCAATTAAATTTTTATTTCATATATTTAATATTTCTTTAAAACTTTAAGTAAACTACAGATAAAACACAATTAAAACATAATAAAAAAGCGTAATAAAAAAACAATCGGTGCGCAACTAAAGTGAAACTAAATAATAGACAAAGTGCATATAAAACACAAGTAAAACCTAAAAAAAAATATAACCAAAGTGCACTCCACCTATCAAATTTTAAGTAGGTGTTTAGATGTATATATACGGATTGTCTAAGATTGAACAGTAGGATTTATCAAATTCTATAAATTTGGATCTTGTATGTATAATGCTGTTAAATTTGAAATGTGTTTGACATAAACTCTAATGCAATAAATTTTGAGAATTTGTTTGAAATCACATATTTCAATTAAATTCTGAATATTTATTTGATTGTCTATTTTAGAATTAGATATGTAAGGATAATTAATATTTTAATAATTATTATTAATGATGAAATTATAATATTTTATAGAAGTACAACAACAAGGGCCCCTAATATCCATGAATAAAAAACAGTAGCACACTGCAATTCTTCTATTCTCTAAGAAAATGAAGCTAATTAACATAATTAGTATTGATATGTTATCAAAATTTGTCTTGATCTGGCATGAATCTTGAGACGTATCCAAGTTGAAAAATTTAAAAATTAAATTTTGAATCATCCATCCTCCAATTTCAGCAAACTTATAGTCAAATTGAATGCCTCGAAGAGACGGGCCCAACAACACCAAAATTGGTCTAATCCGAGCCCAAATGAGTCCAAATTGGGGGCCCATACCACATTTGGAATGTTCAATGCCTAAATTGGATGGCTAAATGATATCCAAATATACCATTCTTATAGTTGAATCGAGTGGCTCGACAAGACAAATCCAAGAAGCCCAAGATCGCTTAGTTATGACATCATTTGGACACAGAAATGCTTAACAAATAATCTATGATCAAGGAGATCAATATGGATCTTACTATAGAGTACTCCAAATTTACCTCAAATCTTCTCCATTTTAAGGGGCATGTCACTCTAAAAAATCTATATATACCCCTACTTCTCATATGAAGGGAGGCTTGGAGCATGGACTTTTTGGCTGGAGATTTGAGAGAGTTATAAGGCTTCAAAAGCTTCAGCACCATCGCAGGCTAACCTCCGTCGATTATCATTGGAACACTACTCGACTACAAACAGGCGTTGAACTTCCTCTTGGTCGCCAACCCACGTCAAACTTTCGCCCGACTATCGTCGGACTGCCGCCCGGCCGCCAACTGCCGTCAGAAGACCACTTAGTCGTCGATCATCGTCGGATCATCGCTAGACCACCACCTAGTTGTTGATTGTTTTCCGACTACCTCCTATCCATCAACCACCGTCGGACTTCCACCCAGCTGTCGACCACCATCAATTGGCTGCCCGGTTGCGGGGCTCTAACGGACTTCCACCCGGCAATCAACCTCCACCAAACTTCTGCCCGACCATCGTCGGACCGCCGCCCGTCCGTCATTCACTGCCAGACTTCCATCTGAATTTTGCCAAACCACCGCATGTATGCTAACTGTTGCCAAAATACCTCATGTCTGCCAACACCTGACGAACTTCCACCCACTACGATCCCCATAACCATCGATGCCGTCGAATACGATCTCTATGATCTCCATTGCCCAAACACAACCCTACAAACCAAATGAATATGTCAACGTTCTCTTGAGAGCGGTGTGGACCTCCGAAAAGAGCTCCGCGCGAACGGGTCGATTGGAAGGGCAGATTGGATCATGCATACGACTAACCATTGAGGATAGAGGCTGACGCCAACACACCTCGATGGATAGTAATATACACGACCTAGTCACGGGTTTCCCCCACCTGATGCAAGAGCTCGGATGGGGTTTAGTAGATTGTGGGGACCAAGTTTCCCACGGGCGCAAGCCCCCGTGGTTAATTACATCACAGGCCGGAGCCTGAGAAAACTCTCGATTAAGGATTATATATTATCCTGTCTTAAAGTGGGATTGACACATGAGTATAGACTAGGAAGTCCTATCCAAAAGGAAGAAATGTCCGAAAAGGCTGAATCAACATGCGTGGCTCAAACTAGCATTCGGAGGCTCTAGGGTACTAGAGAGAAACTGAAGAAAGAAAAATCAGGCAATCAATCACATGCATGAGAGAATGATGGAGGTGGCGTCATCCTGCGACGCGGATAAGTAGGATTTATAGTCCCTGAAAAGAGGGGACCTACCTACTATTTTAGGCTTACTACGAGACCGAATGTAGTAGCCTCGAATCCTAAATCTAATTTGGACTGAGTGTTCGACACACACTGAGACCAGTGTCCTAACTAATGCGATGCAAAGATCTGGACTTATCCCGGCCTGGATGGGGGAGCAAGCTAACCACCTAATCGCTTCAAAACCATGGTATCCAGTCATTTATGAAAGATGGGTGGGAGGTACAGTTATTTGGAAATAGGACCGACATCTAGAGAGTTTCCTAAGTGGTCCTGCACTTATGTGGGTCAGATGCTTCTAGCTAATGCAATTAAATTTTAATTAAATTAGTTTCTAATGCAATGCATGCTAGTTGAAATGTCAGCTCATGAATGCTATAGAACTTTAAAAACAGGCTTATAGAAAATAATTTTTGAAAAAACTGGGTCTCCCTAGGTCCGGCACTTCATCCTCATAGGCCAGATTATCCAGACTCTACCCGCAGGCAGGGAGATGTCTTATAACAAGGAAAAGAGGGTGCAATAATATGCATGCGACCCCGGACGATTCCGACAATTCCCTAAGTTCGTTAAGTTTCTATGTTATTTAGAACTTAAAATTTTAAGAGTTAGTTATGAGTAGAAAGATTTTATAATCCTTATAGAGCCTAACAAAAATCCAGGCGAAAATAAAATCGACATGCAAGAAAAGGAACCTAAGAAAAGCAGGCAATTTCTACTACGCAACCAAGTAAACACATCAATATAAATTCAAAAATTAATCAACTAAATGGCCATAGGCAAATTGCCCTTATTACAACCCAGGGTATGCAGAAAATAAAGTGGTCGGGCACCACTGCCAATAACCCGTATTTCTAAGCCTATGACAGACGCAAATGACTTTGAGTTGGATATTGGTCTTCAGTCTTCTGGGTGTCTCTTTTTTTTTTCTTTGGACTCCTTGGAACTCTCCTCCTTCGACTCCTTGGATTTCTCCTCCTTGGACTCTTTGTATCCGTCGTGGCTTGAATATCCAAACGAAGAGACAATTCCCCCTAGGTAGGGGGGCATTGCCTTTTCTCTTTGGATATCTAAAGCCATCCCACTTGATCTCCCAATTGGAAGAAGACTCTCCTCTATGAGGATGCCTTTTTCTTTTAGGATTCAAGTGTGATAAGAATATCCCAACTCAAATATCAATTTCACAACTCTTAACTATCATTACAAATTTTACATCCATTTGAAAAGCAGAAAAGAAATCTAAATAACCTGCAAGGTTATCCTAATAAAATCCCAAGCAGTTTATATGAAAATGAAAGTGTTAACACCATTGATCTCGTGCCAAATCATGCTCTTAATTTTGAGGGCTAAGTAGCTCCACCTGTGCAATTATATTTAATTTAGCCCTCATTTTATTTAGGGGGAGCTGACCAAGCACCTGCATAAAACGTTATTAGAAATCATAACATTGCTCCCCCCTTTAGCATAGCGTGAGCATGGCCACCTGCACGGAAGAACAGTATATATGCATATAGATCGTTCCTAACCTAGGGATAAATCTAACGACCATCACATCACAGAGTGCAGGAAAAATAACCAAACACAGCAATTCAATTTTCAAACAACATGCAATAAAAATATCGAAAAGCTCCGGCACATAGCAGAAAATTAAAACCCAGCGGCCTAACCTAATTCTAGAAGTAGTGCCCTAGCAAACAATGCTATGTGTGTGTAAGGCTTGTGTGGTTTGGATATATCATAATATGGATAGTTAGTTAAAGTTATCTAGAATTCAGGTTTGTGGGGGTCTGAAAAAGATATTTTAGTTGAAATTCAAATATTAATGGATTAGAGTCTTTTTTTTTTTAATTATTTCAGTTTGTTGATCAGTTTTAAGATCTTAGGATACTGATATTTAAAGTTTAAGTGATATTAGCCAATTTTAGAAAGTCACTAGTCCTCCTAGGAACTAGACTAAGAGTTCAAAAAGTCACTATGGGAAAAAGACTAAGTCTGGGATTTCTAACATCTTAGAAAAATACTAGATCTTAATACGAGTAGTTAGACAGGTAGTAGGCTGAAATCGGAGTTTTCTAGGCCATGTTATGAATTTTCTAAGTTTTCGAGCCTTAAATGAACTACGGTTGACCAAAACGTTGACTTTCTAATCTAGGCCATTTTATAGAAATCTAAAATTTTTAATAAATACTAGACCCTAATTGGAGTCTAATGCAAATGGGTTTGCCTAATTTGGAATTTTCTACAATTAGTTATGGATTTCTAAAGATCGGGTAATTAAGGGAATTTTCTAAATTTCCTAATAAAGGGCCATTTTTGCTGTTTTGCCCCAAATCAGCTCTAAGCTGATTGGAATCTCTCCCAAAGGTCAGGAATAACCAGAGAAAGTGTTTCCAAGTGGTTGGAGAAGATTTGAGATTTTTAATAATTTTTAATGAATTATCAGGGGCAAAATGGCAAATTCCACCTATAGTCAAATTAGGGGTCAACCTGGAGTCACACTAGGGAGCCCTATTTATCTAAGTTCAAGGATCTGATTCTGGTCAGTTTGAGATATTATGGGTAATTTTCTGACCTAAATTCTATTTATTGAAATTTTTAGAAGGTCTCGGGGCCTTATTTAGCAGGTTAATTAGGGTTGGTTAACTAAGAGGTTTAAAGACTTCTAAAAATTCCTAGAAAATTTTGAGATGTT